CCCCCAGCAGCCCTCGAAAGTGGCGACGGCTTCGCAGATCGCAGCCCCCCATGCGTGGCAAGGTCGAATCCGAGTCTGCGTTACATGTCACTCCGCTGGGCTTCCCAGCAGCCCTCCAAAGCGGCGACCGTTTCGCAGTTCGCAGCCCCCCAGGGATGGCGAGGTCTGCTCTGGGCCTGGGTGGTGCCCCACTCCGCTGGACCCCCAACAGCCCTCTGAAAGTGGCGGCAGGAGAGGAAGAACGAGGCGGGAAGAAAGGAAGGGAGGAAGGACGGAGGTGTGCGACCGCAGTGCTCCATCCAGAACGAGTACCCAACGCAGGAGGGTTGAGAATTATGCTGCGCTCGCACCCCCGAAACTATGTACCCGCCCCAGGGATGATGCTCCAAATCCCCTCCCCCTCTCCAGGACAGAACATAAAACTTCCCTTTGTGTTCGGGAAGCGCTGTTCGCCCCCCGCAACACCCCCCACCCACCCAGTCACGCATCAAAAGCGGATTCAAACACCCGCGCCGAATCGTTCGGAGAAAACATCGATTGCTCAATGTGAAAGAATACGGAAATAAATCGTTCGACAACAACTCCAATAAGTCAATGTGTTTGCCGACTACCAATCGCGCTCGCATGAAGTTCCCAGGTGTCTTTAAAACGGCGCCGGAGCATCCCCGCATAGCTCTGACACGCATAACTGTTATAGAGAGCGAAGGCATTACGGATCGCGCTTCGCGCGCGCTCAGGTTCTAGCTAGGCTCGACAGGCTAACGCATGGAATATCAGTTGTTGAGGGCCTTGTGCATCTAACGACCTTCTTGGAGTTCCTGCGCAAGCCTCGGAAGCGTATAGAGGGGGGGCATGCGGAAACTACATATTCATCAATGTCCTTTAAGTGTTCGATGATTTGGGGCCCTCGAGGCTCCCTGGGAACTCTCTTCGGTAATGACGGGGGCCTTACGTATGCCCTGTTGTGCAACATTAAGCAGGGGGTAAGTTTGGAAAAGGAATTCTCGGAGTTCCCTTGTTTCCCAATTGTCATGCCTAGGCCGTGGGTGATAAGTTTCCTGGATACAGGTCGTGGACTGTTGGGACGCCTCTGTGGGCCTTTTGGCGGCGTCTTGGGAGTCGCTCGGGGCCTGAATGGGGTGCTCTTGGTGCATCCTGGGAGCCACCCAGGAGTCTCCGCAGGCATCTGGGGGGCACCTCGGGAACCTCTGGGAAAACCTTGGGGCCACCTTGGGGCAAAGCGCTCGTAAGGCGTTGGGAGGTCCCCTCGTTTGTCTCTTGCTTGGCGCGCGCGCGCTGACGTTATAGCTAGGCTGGACAGGTGAACCATGAGATCTCGATTTTCTACTGTGGTTTCAGGGGCAGCCGAGAGGACACGAAGACGATCCAAGAGAGTGCCAAGACAGAGTCAGAGAGTTGAACAGTATTCCCCGAACAAATAATTTGCAATGTGACCCCGAAGTCGAACTTGACCAGAAAGAGAAACACTGGATGTCCTTCCTTTTTTTCAAGTGTGGCATCCTACATGTAGTGCGCAGGAATTGGCGGGGGGGCCTCAGAGGCGCGCAGGGGGGTCTTAGGAGGCAGTTTGGAGGCCGCCGGGGGGGCTGTTTTGGGGCCTCTTGGGACCACTTTTGGGATTCGGGGTTCTTGGGGGCCTCTTGAAGCTCTTTTTGGGGGACTCTTGGGGCCTCCTGGGGGCCTCTTGGAGCGGAAAGCCGGGATTGTCGATTTGCGCTCCCCCTGTTGGGCGGCTTTTCTGACCACCTCGGGGCTCTCTTGGGCTGCCTCGGGGCCTTCTTGTCCCGTCTTGGAGCCGTCTTGGGGGCTCTTCGGTGGTCTTGGGGCGGTTTTGGGGGCCTTTTCGGCCGTCTTGGAGCGTTGGAAGCTCCAAAACACGAGAAAGTTAAAAACTTACAAAAATTATCCTGGCGAAGGACCCAACCATATGCAATTGTGAATAACGCTTTGTGGGTGCCGCTCCGCTTTCGGTGGGGCTCCTTATGGGGCCACGAAAGGCGTGCCACGAAACGCTGTCCTGGGAGTACGGGACGCATGAGGGCGGTAGCACTGGGGCCTTCGGTGGAGCTCCCTATGGGGCCACGAAGCGTGTGAGGGGTGTGCCGACATGGGTGCGGCGCCGCCATGCGAACGCAGCCACTGGGGCCTTCGGTGGAGCTCCCTATGGGGCCACGAAGCGTGTGAGGGGTGTGCCGAAATGTGCGCGGCGCCGCCATTCGAACGCAGCCACTGGGGCCTTCGGTGGAGCTCCCTATGGGGCCACGATGTGAGGGGTGTGCCGAAATGGGTGCGGCGCCGCCATGCGAACGCAGCCACTGGGGCCTTCATGGGGCCACGAAACGTGTGAGGGGTGTGCCGAAATGGGTGCGGTGCGATCAGCCACTGGGGCCTTCGGTGGAGCTCCCTATGGGGCCACGAAACGTGTGAGGGGTGTGCCGAAATGGGTGTGCGGCGCCGCATGCGAACGGCAGCCACTGGGGCCTTCGGTGGAGCTCCCTATGGGGCCACGAAACGTGTGAGGGGTGTGCCGAAATGGGTGTGCGGGACGCATGCGAACGCAGCCACTGGGGCCTTCGGTGGAGCTCCCTATGGGGCCACGAAACGTGTGAGGGGTGTGCCGAAATGGGTGTGCGGCGCCGCCATGCGAACGCAGCCACTGGGGCCTTCGGTGGAGCTCCCTATGGGGCCACGAAACGTGTGAGGGGTGTGCCGAAATGGTGCGGCGCCGCCATGCGAACGCAACCACTGGGGCCTTCGGTGGAGCTCCCTATGGGGCCACGAAACGTGTGAGGGGTGTGCCGAAATGGGTGCGGCGCCGCCATGCGAACGCAGCCATGGGGCCTTCGGTGGAGCTCCCTATGTGAGGCCGACGGGTGCGGCGCCGCCATGCGTGTGGTGGAGGAGAAACGTGTGAGGGGTGTGCCGAAATGGGTGCGGCGCCGCCATGCGAACGCCATTGGGGCCTTCGGTGGAGCTCCCTATGAGGCCACGAAACGTGTGAGGAGTGTGCCGAAATGGGTGCGGCGCCGCCATGCGAACGCAGCCACTGGGGCCTTCGGTGGAGCTCCCTATGGTGCCACGAAACATGTGAGGGGTGTGCCGTGATAGTGGGAGGAGGGAGGAGGGAGGGGGGAGGAGGCGGAGGAGGAGGAAGGAAGGAGAGGAGACGCGGGGCGCCGTCTCTTCAAAACGAGGACCCAACACCACAGGATGGTTGGAAAAAAAAAATATCCTGGCGAAGGACCCAACCATCGGAGGTGAGGGGGTGAGATCGAAGTGGAACGGAGAGACCCCCTACCGGGAAATCGGTTTCGATTTCGTGTTCGTGCGTGCCGTGCGTGCGGGCGAGGCGAAGCTGCGTGGGCGGGCGAGAGGAAAGTCTCCTGTGGCTGAGGCGCGGCCGGACCAAATGACTCCCTTCCGGGCGGCCGGTGGCCCGCGGTGTCCCGCCGGTGTCCCGCTGGTGTCCCGTCGGTGTCCCTGTGGCTGAGGCGCGGCCGGACCAAATAAGGGAGTGCGCGGGCCGACCTTGGCGCCTACCAGGCGTCGGTTTCCGCGACCGCAAGGGCGCACGCGCGCAGGGGCGCGACGTCTCGGGGGGCGGCATCGCCGCTTTTCTTAGCGCGGCACTCCTACCGCAATTGCACGTATGTATCAGGCGCATTGACAATGCTGTTTGTTTAACGATTTGCCTGGCTGCTTCGTAAAACGAGCTCCAGGAATCCATGTTCGCGTGGATTTTCAGGCACGCTCGCGACGTAGTGTGAAATGCTATGGTGAGCATGTTCGGTTTCTTGGCAGCTTTTAGAACCCACGCCGCATTGGTTTTGTTCCGGATAACCACATGTTTGTTTAACGTGGTAGGGGTGCTGTCGAACGCGCCAGTACAAAAGGGCGCCCACGCGGGGGCGCGCCATAACATATAACATCGGTGCTGTAATCGATGTTGTTGTTCGGCAATTTGATTGCGATTTGTGTGTTGCCCCCCCCCCCAACGCCATGCGCGATGTTTCCAGCGCGCGGCTCCCCTCCCCCTTCGGTAATTACATCGGCATATTGACATTGACGCCCATTCCGATAACTACAGGCTGGCACGTTAACGTAATGACGATCTGAAGACTTAGATGTTACGCATTACCCAAACAATAACAACATCGGCTTATATTTGAAAGCCGCGGTCGAGATCCCGAGGTGCACGTGTACCCCCACTCCCCCAAGAAAGCGCATGAATGCGCAAATCCTGAAATCCCCTGGAACGGGCCATGCAGGCGCGAAGCGCTCGATCAACGACAAGGCGTGGAAGGGAAAACGAAGCAAGACGGCAGGTGCGATGACATGCAGAGGCGGGCGCCCTCCTCCTCGCCCCAACGCTGGGGGCTCCTGATAACGCACCCGTGTATCACGATAACAAACCAATATCGAGAAATGAACAGAGAGCACGCGAGCGGTGTGCTGCCGTAGCCCCCATCGCTCGGCAGCCCCCTCTCAGCCAAAGCTCAACCCGGGCAGCGCCCGATGGAATACACAATGGGACGTTTGGTCGAAGGAATCGGCTTGGCTGCTCCTCCCCGCAGTTGGAAACGATAGCACGCAGCTCGAAGCTCAAGGAACAAGAAAACTGAAACGATGACGAGGACAGGGCCGAATGCAACAGATCCCTCAGCTCTACCTCCCCTCTCCTCGGCCCCCCTGCTGGCGAGGGACGGGCCCAGGGCTTGATATCCCCCATGAACCGCCCAAAGCCTGCTGGCCCTGGCCAACCCGATGCACGCAGAAATGCGACTTCCATCAGCAATGGATGGATGTGATTCGGTGGATCTCCCACTGCGCATGGCCGACGCGACCGCTCAAAATCAGAAAAGTTCTCCAATGGCCCTTGCAACGAATGCTCTAACTCTCGATCGGCCCCACCACCGACAGCAGCAGAGCGCACGTCTACACCCCGAGCCCGAGCCTGGGCCCCTGACCCTAGCATCGGCTCACGCCGCCTCGAGCGCGCCCTTCAGCGCCTCGATCGCCTCGTCCTCGCCGAACTCTTTCGTCGCCAGCTCCAGGGTGGAGCGGATGACCTGGCGCTCCAGCGCGGGCTCCGACTCGCGAGTGAAGGGCCAGCGCAACCCCTCGCAGGTCTGGTCGCCCACAATGAAAGTGCATACGGCATAACCCGCGGGGGCGACGAGGACGCTCCCCGGCTCAGACACGAAGGTGAAGCCGCACTTCTTGACCAGCTCGTTGACGTTGTCGGTGCTCATGTTGCCGAACTCGTTCAGCTTTTCCTTGAGGGTCTCCTTGCTCGGGGCCGAAAGCTTGACGCCGTAGATCACCTCCGAACCCGCCATGGTGACCCGGACCTCGGGAAGGGCCTTCGGCGACAGCGTCACGGCCGACCACTTTAGCTTGAAGAGCCACATCTGCGGGCTGAAAGCGGCGTTGACCTCGTCCGCGCCAGCGACTTTGCCGAAGAGCCTCGCGTCCAAAGCAGACTTCAAGATCGCTTGAATACTGGCGCTTTGGCGCTCACGATGTCGCTGTTCGCGCCTTCGAGCCCGTTCTTCTGGACGTAGTTCTCCACCCAGTCGTGGCGCGACTTGCAGTGCTCCAGCTTCGTCAGCTTGTCCACGACTGCCGCCTTCATGAGAGCGGGTTCCGCGCCGACGGGGCGGCCGACGCCGTCGGAGAAGTACGCCCCGAAGGCCGTCGCGCAGCCCCCGGCCTTGAAGTCATCGCCGGCGCCCTTCGCGAAGTGACGCAGCCTCGTGCCCCGCAAGACCGCCATCGGGCGATTGACGGGGCATGTTGGGATTGACGGGGCATGTTGGATCGACGAGGCATGTTGGGATTGACGGGGCTTGTTGGGATTGACAGGGCATGTTGGGATCGACAGGGCATGTGTGTTTTAACGGAACATGTTGGGATTCACGAGGCATTATGGGATTGACGGGGCATGTCGGGATTAACGGGGCATGCTGGGATTGACGGGGCATGTTCGGGATTGACGGGGCATGTTTGGGCCTCGCCCGTAACTTGGTAAAACAAACGATGTGTCAGTTTTCCTTTGATTTTCAAAGGTCGATGCCCGTTGCTAGAGATTGCCCCCATGGCCTCGGGACGATTGGGAGCTCGCGGGACACGCCTGCCCCCCCGCTCTCGGCGCGGTGAGCGTGGGCGCTCCTCGCGGCCTTCTGCTTCTGCAGTATCTCGGAGGCCTTCCTGAAGTCCCTCGTCTTGTCGGTCATCGCCTTGAGCGCCGTGTTGAAGGCAACGGCCTCGGTCTCGTCCTTCTTGGGCTGAGTCCACACGGCTTTCTGTTCGGTGAGCTCCTTCAGCTGCTCCTTGCACTGCGCCTCGGTCTCAGGTTTCGGCCTACTCTCCCAGCTGGTGAGAAGCAAGTCCGTCTTGGCCTTCAAGCTCTGGAAGGTAGTCAAGCACTTGTCCGAGACGGCCTTCATCTCCGACGCGTTATCTTCGGTCATGTCGTCGCAGAGGGTATCCGCGATGGCCTCGTCCATCTTCTCGCGCCTCGCAGTGACCGAAGCGATCAGCGATGACGATGCCTTAGATATATCGGAATCCCAGGCCAGCTGCAGGATCATCTTGGACCTCTCCCTGCTCTTCGCTGGCGGAGAAGCCTTCGTCCTTACGATGGCTGAAGACGCAGCTGCTGCTTCGGCCTCCTCCTCCTGGGCGGCCATCGCGATGTCGGCCTGGAAGCTGGCGACGAGCCCGGCGCCGTGAACCTCGGGGCAGACCTTGCCCTCCTTCGGGGCGTGCTGCTCCACCAAGTCGGCGGAGGGCGTCACAGTCGGGGCGATGGACCCGCTCATCCTCTGCCACTCCTTGCCCATCTCGGCGGCCTCCGCCGCAAGCTGGCCCAAGTGGTCGGCGCTGGTCGCTTCGGACTTGCGCTTGACCGCGCCCCGGAAGACTTTGGCTTGGCCCTGCTTCACCTGGGCGCCGAGGAACTCCCCGAGCAGCCACCGGCCCCGAACAAACATCTTCTGCGCGTCAGGCGCGTCCAAGGCAGCCGTCCAAGCGTTGTCCCACTGCGTCTTGCTCCACTCGGCCTTCGCGGGCTCCTCCGCGATGCGAGCAGCCATCCACCTGCTCTTCGTCATGTAGTCGTCGAGCTCCTCCAGGCCCTTCTTGCGGACGTCCTCCTCGGTGACGCTGACCTCTAGGTCCTTCGCGTCGAAGGCGGAGCACTTCTTGCCCTTGCGATCTCTGTAGAAAGCCACCCGCATGAATGCGAGATCAAAAATGCATGTCGTGCACCCGAAAAGAGCGACCCAATGAAACTTAAGGCGTGTCTCTCGGCATCTATACTCTAGATGCTAATGGACGCAACGCCTGCGTTGTCCTGGACCTTCGGGGGGCTTGAACCTAGAGCCCAAGTTTCAAACCGATCCTAACCCGGGGCATATCCGAACCTATGAATTTCTGAGCAGGATACGCGTAAGAAGCCCGTGAGAAGAAACCGCGGGAACCATCCTCAAAACACATGCCCGGACCTTTTGAAAATTGCATAAACCCAAGAACCCTTGGACAGGGCTACGCTCGGGATGCGCATGAGAAGGAACCACGGGAACCACGTGGAGAAAAATACGTATCCCCGCGAACCCCTGCAAAACAACTAACCCCATATCACCGAGAATCTCTGACCCATAAGCCAAGCTAGAGTTAATCATTGCCCAAGCGTTCAAACAACCAATACATAGCACCAGACACCTCTGAGTGGGTGAATATTTTTGAAGGCCAGATAACCTTGTCATCGTGTGTTTTTTCTTGAACGACTCCATCATCTTTTTGCGCTGGAGGTTCCTGTCGACAGACGTGCAAGAAGAGCACTTCCTCTTTTCATGTGGCTTGTCCCGGTTCAACGGGGTCGACTTGGCGATCGTCGCGGGCTCCTCGCAGCGGCAACACGTGCACTCCACGGCGCCAGCGGCGCCAACCCCCCTCGAGCTGGCGGCGTCCGCAGCAGCATCGCTCGCGGGGCTCGCGTGGCCGGTGGAGGCCATGGCTCAAGATCACAGAAGGAACACCCTTGAGCAACAAAGCTATGGCCCAACAACTCTGGAGGCCAAGGTTGTCGGGCGCGCCTCAACGAGGCGGCCAAGTGACAACCGAAGGCAAAACTGATTCCTTCATCGTCGGCGAAGAGAGCGCACGTTCGGGTGGCAGAGACCTCGGCGCAGCAGGGAGTTGACCCCTTTGCCAACAGGCGAAACGCTAGTGCTGTGGGGACTTCTACCTGCCGAAGTTCTCCTAGAGGGTTCTCAACTGACTGAGGCCGCTATGCCCCATGGGGCCATCCACCCGCCCACGCCCGCGGCGCCCGGGCGCCAGCCGCACCTATGTTACGCGCCACGAGATCAAGTTATATAGCGATGTCGGGGCCCAGGGGAAATTATATATCGATTTCGGGACACAGGCAAACCAGTTATACAGCGGTATGTGGGCACATGGGAAGTTATATAGCGATTTCGGACACATGCAAACCATTATATAGCGATCTCGGGTCCTGGAGAAAGTTACATAGCGATCTCGGGGGGGCAGGGACATTTATATAGCGAGTTCGGGACACGCATGCATGTACATATGTATGTGTTTGGCGAGCTCGGGGCTCAAGGAAAGTTATATGGCGATTTCGGGACTCGGTTTCCTCGGTGCGCTCTGAAAGACAGCCCAATGTTGCCACCTGCGGCCTGCGAATTAACTCTGGGCATGGCGGATAGCGCATGCGGCTTACCCGCATCGCGTGCATCCTAACTACAAAAAAACTCACAACTGCCAGTGCGAAGCACGCAATGACGATGTATCGTTACGAGCATAGCAACCCTTTCTCCCATGCAACTAGAACTGCGAAGCAAAAATCTCTCGTGTAGGCTGCGCTCTCGTGGAGGTGCTTCCCTCCAGAGACACCGCCTTCGGCGTCCGTGGTCCAGTACTGCTTCTCATCATTTTGTTTGGAACGCCTCCACTGGCGAAAGTTAAAGCTGCGAGTCAACAACCGGGCTGACTTCATATTTGTGAGAAGGTGTCTGTTCTTGGGCATTGGATGACCGAAGCAACCCATCCAAGTATTGATGATGGTGAACGCACCCTGGCTTTCAGCGACGAGCCTCTCTACTGCCGGGCGCTGGAACATGTGTGAACTCACCGGTTGTTCAATGGTGAATCTGATGTTGCGTGCCAGCACGCGCGAGCAAAGAAACGCGAGGTTGCTAACGATCAAATTGCTCAATCGCACTTTTTCATTCCTTACATCGCCAAGGGGGTTCACAACGGAACGCTTGCGCAATGAAGCCGATAGGAAAATAAACAGAGAGCACGGCGGCCCTGCGAGGACCAGACCGCCAGGCACCAGCCGCAGCAGAAGCAAGAGGATCAACCTGCATCCAGTCTTGCTCGTGATGTCGCGCGCGGGGTTGATGATAATGTCAATGGCCACGCCCTCGTAGTTGCACTCTCGGAACACTGTGGCCCCTTTCTGGCTGGCCGAGAACAAATCGATCATGTGTAAATCTCTGTCCACTGGGGAGTTGTCCACAATCGACGCCGTTTCCTCCGGGTGTTCCTCGGCAACGTGCCACTCGCTTTCCGGGGGTGCTACACGCGACCCTTCGTCTGAAGGACGCTTGCGTTTGTTGTCCCCCATTGCGCGGGAGGCGAGGCTCGGCAAAACGCCTGACTCGCGCGCAGGGCAAGCCCGCGACTGCCTCAGTGCTTCGAGCCAAAACGGCAAAGGGATGGCGATGACGATGATGATGTATCAAGCTCATCGTGGCTTCGGTGGCCCTTTGCAACGTAGATTTGCGTTTGTCGTGTTCGTGCTCTTTGTTGCAAGCCAAGATGCCTCGGAATCCAACGTGCACAGATGGGCTGGCGCGCCCCCAGGATGTCTTTGGCTCACCCCAAACATTGCTTGCACAAATAGTTTGAAATTGCTAGCACGCCGAGGGGGCGGATGGGATGGACGAAGAGGAGGAGGAAGATGGAGAAGGAGGCACGCCTCTCGAACCCCCCCTCGCGCGCTCGACCGCGAGCGCCAAGCCCGCCGGAGGCGCGCCTTCGGTTGCCCACTGCGCAAACCGAACTGCTGGATAATATTAGCATTATTGATATTACTGTTGCGGGCACATCCAGAATGCAGGAATCCACTGTTTGGGGTCAGCGCTGTCTAGCATGTACTAAGGCTCCAAACATCTCGGGTGATATATGGTACGATTAGGGTTCACCCTGGATTGTTGCTGTTTTTGTTGTTGGTTTACTTTGGGGGGTGGGCACGTCCTAAACACATCACCATCAACGGCGCGGCCTATAAATCGAGCTGCAGGTCAACATCACTATTAGGGTGGCCTTCAAATCGAGCTGTAAGTCACCCGCGCTGTTGGGGCGGCTGAAAATCACCATCGCTATCGGGGCGGCCAACAAATCTAGCTGCAAGTCACGCTTACGTCGCTCGTAAGTCACATTTGGCAACTTTCCCCTCGCAAAGAAGCCTGCAACCAATATTGCATGGCTTTTCTCGCTGAACAAGCCGCAAACCTTTAACAAAGCCGACCTTTCCTAGGATATCGGTGGGGGCCCCCGCCCCGCTCTTGGGAAAGTCTCGGCACGCCCTGCCCGGCCCCCCCCGCGACACCCGCGACCCCGCGACAACCCCGCGACAATCCCGCGACAATCCCGCGACAATCCCGCGACAATTCCGCGACAATTCCGCGACAATTCCGCGACAATGCGCGACGAATTTGGCGATTTCCTCCTGGAGAGCCCCTCCTGGCACGCCCTGCCCGCCCCCCCCAAAAAAAAAAACCCTGGCGAGCGGAGCGCCCCTCGAAATCCCTGCTGGCCCTATCATTTCATCGCTTTTGGAAGAGTCCAGACCGAACTTCAATCAACGAGCGCAGCTGCCCACTTATCTACAAGTAGATCTGGCACTACTGCGTTCAAATGCACGAGTCTATCATCGCCCTCCGGGATGGCAGACCCGACCTCGTGCCAAGCGAGCATGAAAGCTATGCGCCTATTTGGGGATGGGTACACGTGCAAAAATCTGCCCAGTCTGCACTTGCGACGCCTGTGGCACTGCGTTAGCGCTCGCGAGCGGCGACTCGCATGCGACTGATTGTCAAAATGAATCAAAACTTCCCTGCCATCGGGCAAGACCTTCTTCACAGGGAGACGGGCGAAATCAGGCTGCACTGCCGGCGGCGGCAACGGCGCAACCACCGGCACCACGGCCAATGCCGCATCATCCGCTAACGCCAATGGGTCGTCGGCGTCGGCGACATCGGGCGCTTGGCCCTTCAAGATAGACATGAAGAGCCGGCCCCCTTTCGTTGAAACCGTTGGGCCTAAAGCTTCTACGACAGACACATCATCGAGCTCCAACAAGCATATGTGATAGTTCTGCGGGCACTGGGGATATATGTGCGTTATGCCCTTAAGAAAGACATTGACGTGATCTAGTAAGACAGCAAGTCGGGCTTTGTTGCCCGTGGCCCAACTGGCATGCAGCACGCGAGGGGCGTCGAGAGATCTGGGCCCCGCGGCATCCGCGACGCCGAACTCCCACCCCTGTCGCAGCAATTGCACCAGCAAGTCCAGACGCGGCGCGGAGCGCCAACAACTGTAAAGCGGAGGCCCTGCAGCGATAAGCTCCTTCGGCTGGTATTGGCGGTTCAGAATGATGCCAAAGGCCTGGGGGAGCAACCTGGGGAGGTCTGATACGAAAACACAAGCCCGCCTTCCCTCCACAGAAAAACGCGCGCCCCGTTTCACCCCTCGAACAACCTGGGATGGATTGTTTCGAACATATATCACTACATTTGATATTGCCCAGTTCGGTTGATTGTGATACCTGTATAACACATCGCCAAACTCATCGTGGCCAACCTCGATGGCTTTGGACTTAACCAATTCTCTCAAATCTGAAATGGCTGCCACCGCGAACTCCGCGTGGGTGGCGCTACCCCCCATGTCCACGAGTGCCTCCACAGTGTTAAGCTGGCCGTCCTGAGAAGCCATGGCGAGAACAGCAAGCTCGCCCTCGTCGAAATTCGGCACCAATGCCTGTGGACGCAGAGGATTTGCAAATGCAGGCCTGGCAGGCGTGGGCAACACAATGCGCCGCTCAACATTGCCATGGCTCGGAGTCTCCCATTTTATAGTAGAAGCGACCACGCGCCTGAAGATCTCCGGGCCACACCATGCCCTGAACGACAAGTTGGCGCCCGCA